ATACACATACGTGCATACATATGCTTTGGATTTATTTTGTCATATTTTTTAAAGTACTTTTATATACCAATATAAAGATTATTGGTTTTTCTTTTACAAACTTAAATGAAAAGAAAAGTGGGGAAAACCCACAAATAAAATAAAAAAAAACGAAAATGGTTTGCTTTGAATGGAAAATCTCTTGAACATTTTTCAAATACCATAAATTTTTTTTTTTTTTCAATTTAAATGTATTTCCAGTAAATTGTATAGTAAATACTATGAGGTTTGAAGAATTTTAATAAAAACAAAAATTATATCGTATAGGTAGTGTTATTTTTTATAAAACGACTTCTCTAAGAGGACGTAGTTTCATATTTAGAATTAATTTTGACTGTAAATTACATAAACGAACTGTCCAAATGTCCTCTTTACGTTAAGCCTCTTGTCTGGAACAGTAGGAGTTAGATTAATATGTCGATTAATTTGTACAATATTTTTAAATTGGTATCTGTAATGAGCAAAAACGAACCCATATTTGCCCTGACATATACTCAATGCCAACTCCATTTTCAAAACAAAATTCAACAAGAACAAGAAAAGACAGAACAAGAAAAGCTTTACAATAATTACATATTCATAAAACAAAACAAAAAGTATAGTTAAGAAAAAAATGTCCATTGCCCTTGCGTTGTACAAAAGTTTCTCTTCAATTTTCTATGCATTAATAATTGTGACAAATATTTGTAATAATCTTCTTCTTCTTCTTCTTCTTCTTCTTGTGTTAGGCAGAGTGCCTGTTTTCAACATTATTTACAGCTTTATCGTTTATTGTTCTTGTGAGGTTGAGGTCCAACATTCGCGCCACCTTTTGGGCGGTCTGCCTACTGGTCTCTTCCCACTCGGTTTGCTGGTCATGGTAATTTTCGCAAGTCGGTTGTCACCCATTCTATTGACGTGATCTCTCCAGTATCGCCGTCTGTCACGGGTCCAGCGAACGATATCTTGAATGTTACACTCCTCTCTTATGTCGGTACTGCGTTTTTTGTCTCTTAGTGTGTACCCACATATCTGCCTTAGTGTCTTCATTTCTGTTGTTCGCAATAGTTGTTTTGTTTTGGACGTGTCAGATCTTGTTTAGGCGGCATATGTCAATATAGGACGCACGCATGTTTTGTAGATACGTATTTTATTATCTAACAGCATGTATCTGTTACTCCATATTACATCACGCAAGTATCCCGATATTGCAGCGCCTTTACTGGCTTGTGCCCTTACTTCTCTATTTGAATCCCGGTCACTGGTCACTTCAACTCCCAAATAATTGAAACTCATCACCTGTTCAATTATAGTGCCGTCTATCGCCAATTTACAACGGAGTGGATCTTTCGAAATGGTCATAGATTTTGTCTTTGACACTGATATTTTCATATTGTAGTGCTCTGCAGTAGTCTTGAATGTGTATAACAGCCTCTGTAAATCATCTTCATTTTCAGCTAGTAAGACGGCGTCGTCTGCGTAGCATACAATACTGATATCTTTGCTGCCCATCTTATATCCTCTTCCACTGTTGACCACACTATTTACTAATTTGTCCATGATTATATTGAACAGGCTCGGGCTCAGGCTATCTAATTGTCTTATGCCAGTTGATATTGAGACTTCTTCAGACAGTTTTTTATTCACCTTGATTTTGGTTTTGTTATTGGTGTTAATGTCTTGGATTAGTCCGATGATGTTATTTTGTATAGAATGTTCTTGTAATATTCGTACTGCATCCTTGAGTCTGACTCTATCAAAGGCTTGTTTCAAATCCACGAAACACATAAACAAGGGTTTACCAAACTCGATTGATTTTTCAACAAGCTGACGTACGACAAAGATTGCGTCTATGGTTGACCTGTTCTTACGAAATCCATTTTGCTCTTCACTTATTTCTATTTTTGACAGTAATTCGTCATTAATTATTTTGGTGAGTAATTTCTGAACTGAACTTAGTAATGTAATACCTCTATAATTTACAGGATCGTTTTTATCACCCTTTTTATATATAGGTACAGTGATACATGTTTTCCAATCCCTTGGTATTAACTGTTGATTCAAAATATTATTGAAGAGCCTCGTGAGCTGTTGAACTAATATATTTTCTCCGTATTTTAAATATTCATTGGTGATGTCATCTAGACCGGGAGATTTTCGATTTTTCAAGGTCTTGATGAACATATCTACCATGTCTTCATTAACCTGGAATAATGGGTCGCCAGTATTTCGAGAGTTCAATAAAGGTTGTATTTCTGCGTCCCGGTCCCCGTATAAATGGTTGAAATGTGAGACCAAAGTTTCAGCAGATACAGATGAACTGGTTACATATTCATTTATCGGCTTTTTTCTGTTTCTTAAGAAATTCCATATTTTCTTTTGGCTGCCGTATAAATCATACTCCATATCCTTTGTGAACTTAACCCAATATTCTGTTTTTATTTTTCTTATTTCAAGGTTTACTCGATTTCTTGTTTGAATATAATGCCTGTAATCAACTCGGGTTTTAGTGCTTCTATATTTTACATACGCTTCGCGCTTTTCTTTTGCGAGAGTCTTAACTCTTTCACAAAACCATGGCTTATAGTTCTTCTGGGCATTTATATTGATTCTCCTTAAACCGAGTGCCTCGTTAGCAGCACAGATAATATTGTTTTTGACTTTATTCCAAGCTAAATCGACATCGTCTTCTTCGCTCACTGGATTACTCAGTACTCTTTGTTTCAGTCGGACTTCATATAGTTTTTGTGTCGAGATGTCCATGATAGATTCAACATTTATCCTTTCGATATATTCCGGTTTCTTTGTTTTATAGACATTTGCTTTCATTCGTATTTTACACAACACCAAGTTGTGTTCAGTTCCCACGTTCCCAGAGGAAAGTGATCTAACATCAAGTATTTGAGTTGGGTGAAATGTTTTGTTCGTGATGATGTAGTCAATCGTTGACTGATATCCTCTCGTATTACTCCACGTGTATTTGTGTTGTAATTTATGTGGGAAAAATGTATTATTAATACGAAGTTCATTTCTAGCGCAAAAATCTATCAAGCATTCCCCATTATCGTTTAAAGCGTCTTCATTAAACCTTTGTTTAACACCATTTATAACATTATTGCCGATCCTTGCATTGATATCGCCCATAATTAAAATTTTGTCGGTAGGATGTAATGCGTCTAGTGCTAATTGTAGATCATCATAAAAATTTGCTACTTCCTCACGCGGTTTGTTGATGTCTGGAGCGTATACACCAATTATGTGCAGGTTAGCCGTTTCAAATTTAAATGAGATTACCATTATGCGATCGTTAATGTAGTTTATGTTTGAGAGATTTTGAGTGAATCTAGCATGAAATAGCAATCCCACTCCTGAGTGAGCCCTTTCGTTCTTTTGTTTGCCACTGTAGGCCAATACGTAGTTGGTATAGCTTAATGTACCTTTGCCCTTCTTTTTAGTTTCCGATATAGCACAGAAGTCAATTTTGTGTGTTTCCATTTCTATGACTATCTCCTGCTCTTTATTGTTAAATGAGGTTACATTCCAACATGCAAATCTTAAAGTATTGTTCTTTTTCCATATTCGTTTCCGTTGTCTTGCCGAGTCGTTACCGTTTTTTCCATCAATCTTTTTATCCGAGGCTGTTTTTTTTGTTCTGTGAGCAATCTATTTTATGTCTTGGGCAGCTTGCTAGACTCACCTTCGACGTCCGCATCTAACATTTAGCCGATCGTAGATCGTTGCCCGGGTGGTACCACTTGGAGGTATGTTAGACACTTGGTAGATTCCACATAGTTGCAACGCTGGAATATAAATCATGCCTTGACATGAGTATAAACGGTCAGCGCCTACCCTATTGAATCATATATTGTAATAATCAGAAATTTTAATTCGTTCACGGAGTAGCTTTTTAGGACCGTTTTTTTAATATGACGGCAAATTATAAATTTATTGCTGTATGAATTATCCAGACGGAATAGCTTTGCTGAAAATATCGTAATTACGAGAACGAATTAAATACAATTAAACGATTCTTGTGTGTGTGATCCTTGTTGTCTCGCTTAATATTTCAGCCTCTTTCTCTTGCGTAACACTGTCTTGTGTGTGACATATTATTATATCAAGGTAGTACTTAAGTGTACAAAATTATGTAGTTGAAACAGATTTTTGTGTTTCTTTCTATCTGGAGGATCTACAACTGTCTTCCTTTTGTATAGTCTTCTTTTGCCGCCGTATTAAAATAAGCAGAACTTCTTTGATATCGTTTGCGTTAGGGTTAAATGTTATATCCATTCATCGTCTTATATCGGGTGCCTCTGATGGTCCGTCTTTTTAAAAAATCTTTAATCGAAACCTCAATAGGAAGAACAGTTTTGCCTGCTTTCGTTTTGAGTAAATATTTTGTTAATTAGAAGCAATACGACCGCTTTTTCTACTCAACTTGACACCAGTTTGTTTCAAATTTTTCATTTCATTTAATTTCGTCAGTCTGCATAAGTACACCTAGCAAAATGTAGGGAAATTTTCAAACAAAAAAAAAAAGAAAAGGCAAAAATACTTCAAAAAAGGGTGTTGGAAAAACGAGGGAATGCATTGTTTTAACTGAGTGCATAATACGAGAGCAAAAAAATTTATGGATAATAAATTTAAACTTTTTAACAGTTCAATAGGAATGAACAAAAATAAGAACGAAAAACGATGTTTTCTTTGAACGCTAATAATAAACTGAACTTATAACAGTAATTGTGAACTTAAAATGATTTAAAATCTAAATTATAAGCAAACACGTTTTAATTAAATTAATGATTCTGAAAGGCGTTTCAGAACGGTTCCATAAAAAAACGCTTAAAACGCATAAAATAACGCTTTAATGCGAGCTATAAAATAAAATCTTATACTTTATCCGCGTTCTCATACTAAAAATTCTCAAGAGAATTTTTAAAATTTAACTTAATACTTAATTTATGTTTTTTAATTCTCCACAGTGTCGAGTACTCTTAAATTTGCGTACATCACAGCCATTTGAAGATGTTTTGGAAGATTTAGGGCAAGTATTGAAAATTAATGGAGCACGAAAAATGTATACTGGAACCGGTCAAGAAGTAAATTTTACCATTTTAGTCAAATAGCGAATGATAATTAACTACGTCAAATAATTTTGTTTTTATTATTCAGGTTAGGAGCTTTTCCCAGCTTCGTAATGAATTTGCTGATGTCGATACATTTTATTTAGCTACCGGACCAGCGATAGTTGCTGGTTCACCGATACGACGTTCTAGATCACGAGCTGCCCTGACAGCGCCAATACCCATCGCACAAGATGATTTACCGAAAATTTCACCACATGTTCAACGTTCACGTAGTAAAAGCCGTCCAAGGATATTGTATGCTCCAGAAAGTGAAATTGTTAGACCAAGTGGTGAATACACAATGCTAGACATTATGAAAGAAGAACCAACAAAAGTTACGATAAGAGGTTTAAGAAGAACGTTTTATCCACCAATACATCATGCTCCTGCAGATAATTCACCACCAGACAAAAAATTATTATTGCAATGGGTGTAAGTGATTGAGAAAACTCAATGCTAATGAAGCTGTTGAAACCTTTTGTTAATTTGATTAATATCAAAATCTTCTTTTCCATTTAGGCATGGTTACCGAGGAATTGATGCACGAAGAAATCTTTGGGTATTACCATCAGGAGAATTACTATATTATGTTGCTGCAGTTGCTATCCTACTTGATAGAGACGAAGAAGCCCAAAGACATTATACAGGCCATACAGAAGATATTATGTGGTAAGTACCAAATATTAAATTCATTTTCTTATCGATGAAACATTTTTTTATCGTTCTATATTTGACAAACAGTATGGACGTACATCCATCCAGAGAATTAGTAGCATCAGGTCAAAGAGCTGGACGTGACAGAAAATCACAAGCACATGTTAGAATTTGGAGTACTGAATCTTTACAAACGTTGTATGTATTTGGTATGGGTGAACTAGATTCAGGTGTTACAGCGGTAGCATTTTCTCAATTGGTAAGTAAATCAATATAAAATCCTTGTTAATTTTATACACGTTTCTACTAATCCTTCTATTATGAAACTATAAAAGAAGAACAATATTGTATAACTATGGTTTTTCTTACTTAGAATGGTGGTAGTTACATATTAGCAGTTGATGCCGGGCGTGAGAGTATTTTATCTGTATGGCAATGGCAATGGGGTCATTTACTCGGAAAAGTTGCGGTATAATTGTTTTAATTTCATGCTTTTATTTACATTATCATTGTCACATAATTATGAAGTCGTGCATATTACCTTTCATTTACATACGAATTGCAAAATAACAAAAAAAATTCTATTATCCACTACTTGAACCTTTTCTGATTTAGTGATATTTGTTAATTCATAGCATGTAAAATTTACACATTCAACACATCCTTTTTCTCTAACGTCTTTTCGATATTTGCATAAAAGTAGAATAGGTTTTTTATTTTCAATTTTCCTAACAACTACAATGACACATACAAAAAATCAATTTTCATATCAAAATGCAAATATCTAACTTAACATTGACACAATGTATCCGGTATTCAAGTGCTTCCTGAATGGGAAATTGAATATTTAGATCTCTATTATGTTTCACTCCAATTACATATATTCATATGGAATTATTTTACTGCACGTAGCAAAGTATATAAAGCACTTAAGCACACAATGATAGAAAAATAAATAAAAACGAAGAGTAATAATCAAATATCGTTACATATGCAGACTTTGCAAGAAGGATTGTCAGGTGCTGCTTTCCACCCACTTGATGATAATTTAATTATCACTCATGGTCGTGGTCATCTAGCATTCTGGCATCGACGTAAGGATGGTTTCTTTGAACGTACCGATATTGTTAAACAACCTTCACGTACACATGTTACAAGTGTTCAATTTGAACCAGATGGTGATGTTATAACAGCTGATTCAGATGGATTTATAACTATATATAGTGTTGATTCGGATGGAGCATATTTTGTACGTACAGAATTTGAGGCCCACAATAAAGGTATAGGATGTTTGATAATGTTATCAGAAGGCACTTTGTTATCTGGTGGTGAAAAGGACAGAAAAATTGCAGCATGGGATTCATTACAAAATTATAAAAGAATTGCAGATACAAAGGTAAAAATAAAAAAAATCTTAAACTTATTTAAATAATTTGATCTTAGTAAAATTGCAATGTGTGTGTGCAAAGAAACACATTATTTCATTTGGATAAAAAAATTTTTAGGGCATTCAAAATATGTTAAACTTCCCCCGAAAAAACTATTAAAATAAATCATTATTTTTTATTTAAATTAATTATTTAGTTACCTGAATCGGCAGGCGGAGTGCGAACGATTTATCCTCAAAGACCAGGTCGTAATGATGGTAACATATATGTTGGAACCACACGCAATAACATTTTAGAAGGATCATTGCAAAGACGTTTTAATCAAGTCGTATTTGGTCATGGTAGACAATTATGGGGTTTAGCAGCACATCCTGAAGATGAAATGTATGCAACAGCTGGTCATGACAAGCATATAGTTTTATGGCGTAAACATAAATTAATTTGGACCATACAAACTGGCTATGAATGTGTTTCATTAGCTTTTCATCCATTTGGTACTGCATTGGCAACTGGCAGTACCGAAGGGCATTTATTGGTTATAAATTCTGAGAATGGTGCTGTTATGTTAACTTTAAGAATATGCGGATCCCCCATAAATTGCATCGCATATAATCAAGGTTAAATTCTTAATACCATAACTACTTTATCAATAAACTTTAAAAACATATTTAATTACAAGTATGTTTTAATTTTTTCATTTTAGTTGGTGATATGATTGCAATGGGATCACAAAATGGAAGTATTTATTTATTTAGAGTATCACGTGACGGTTTTTCATATAAAAAAGTAAATAAAATTCGTGGTTCACAACCGTTAACACATTTAGATTGGAGTGTTGATGGAAATTATGTTCAAACTGTTACAATTGATTTTGATTTATTATTTTGGGATGTTAAATCCTTATCACCCGAACGTAGTCCAATTGCTATGAAAGATGTTAAATGGTTAACACATAATTGTACCGTAGGATTTTTAGTAGCTGGACAATGGAGTAATCGTTATTATACAAATTCATCAACAATTATTACTACATGCAATCGTTCAGCTAATCAAGATATTTTAATGTCTGGTGACACAGATGGTTATTTAAGATTATTTAGGTAAAAAACATGCAATATATATTTTTCTTATATATAAGTGAGCCATAATTTCATTTTCCACATTCCAATTTAAATAATATTCTCATTTTTAGGTATCCATGTATATCTCCACGTGCTGAATTCCATGAAACAAAAGTTTATTCAGGTATGCTAGCATCCGTCAGATTTTTGTATGGTGATCGTACAATAATAACAGTGGGCGGTACAGATGCCTCATTAATGGTTTGGGATTTAGTTGAAGAATAGCCCATATGGCCACCGTGGCATCAACGTTTATATTTAAATGCATTGTACCCAACATCGACCGAAGCACGTTACGTTGACTATTGGCGAGGTCAACAGCATCATCGTCCTAGTATACAATCTTCAAATATTGAGGAATCTGATTCTGTCGTTGATTAAGAGGGGAATTAATTAAAATTAATTAAATTAACTTTTTCAAAAATTTTCGAAATTGAAAAAAAAAAAATTAAAAAAAAAGAAATCAAAATTTTGATTACTTTTTCATAATTGGTTTTCATTTTTATTTTTTGATTTTCATAAAATATTTTTAAATATTAACAAAATTAGAAATTGATAAAATTTGAAAAAAAAAAAAAATAATAAAAATTTTGAATTTTTAATAAACGCTCAATTTGTGACCGTCAATTGCCTAGAATTAACATTAACGCGATTAACAAGAATAGAAAATACAAAAAATTTAAAGAGTTTAAAATTAGAATTTTAATTAAAATTTTCTTGAAACTGAAAAAGTGCTTAGTAAAGTTTTAAAAGAAACTTTAGGAAATTTAAATTTTTTTTTTATTTTCAAATTTAATGAAATTTTTAACATAATGTGTAAGCTGCCTACCTATGTAAAATTTCAAATTTTATTCATTTAATCTTATTGAATGGTTGTAAACACAAAACGCTATTCTAGACAATTAATTTTTCATTATAGGTCAGGAATAAATAAATGGCGAAGGCCAATATTGATTGGTTCAATATGAAAATAATTTTTTAAAGAGCAACAACTAATTAACTTTTTTGTTAGGAAATTTAAAAAGTATTATCAAACAGTAAAGCAAAATTTCACCAATATTTTTATTTTACATAAATCCAAAATCAACTATTATTATTTTCTAACTCTAATATAGCGTTTCAGAATGCGAGTCCTTAAAAGAGACGTCTCCTTTCAATATTTTGTAATTTTAATTCAACGTTTTATTTTCTAAATCATTGCGATTTTCATCACTGGTTTTTAGTTAAAATAGAATTTTTAATTTCAGATTAACTAAAATAAAAAATTAATTTAAAGCTCTTATAAATTTTATTATATTAAACAATTATTTTACAGTATTGTTGAATTTATGCTACTTTTAGCCGCAAAACTAAATTTTTTTAATCCCAAAAATAATTATGTATAATAATTGTTATCTATTAGTTTATTTATGCATACATAAATATTTAATGAGAAAAAATTAGAAAAAAATTAAATATTATTTTTAACCACTCAACTAATTGAGCAAATAATAAATAAAATTTTGAAAAATAAACAATTAAAATTAAATTAAAAATTATGTTCATTTTTTGGGTTTTCTTCTTCTTCTTTTATTTATTCATGAATTGTTTTTATTGATTACAAACATTTTTTTTTTGTTTTTTAAACTAAATAGAACAATAAATAATCAAAAAATATTAAAGTACTGCCCTATTTTCCTACTTATTCAAAAAAAAAATAAAATGAATAAAATCAACTATAACGTCATATTACACAGCCACTGTGGCCAGGTCAACTAAACAAACTCAAATTCAACTAAACCAAATGAAAATAAAAAAGAAAACATATATACAAAAAACATAGCTCCTTATCTATGTCTCATATTATCCTAATAACATAACCTATAAACTTTATACATGTAACTGGAATCTTTACTATATACAATACAATAGTTAAAAATAAAGAAACAACCTGTATTTATACTTATTATGTACATCAATCATAGAAATTCTAGAATAGTTAATCATTATCATTTTGTCTACTATTATTAATTATTTAAGTATTTTTGATTTTTTCTCTTACCAAATTCATAAAAAATATACTTAGAGCAGTTATTAGTAAATTAAAATTAAAATAAAATAATTTTTTTAGAAAGAAAACAAGGTATTATTTTCTAGTTAAAAATTATGTAATTGCACTTGTTATTTTTATAACAATTATATTATTATTAGGTTTATGAATTAAGTATTAAGCTGCTCTTTAACGCAGCATATTTGGAATCCAATGGTTATTTTATATTACAGTTGATTTTCAATTACAATAATGATATAATGATATGAGCAGAATTGACTTCATTTTTCCAATTTTTACTAATTATTGGATTTTTGCATTTTTTCTCAAATTAACGACGAAAATTAATTAATAGATTTCGTATATAAATTTTAGAAAAAAATTGCGTGGTACGCAACACCGAACAATTCTTCTCACTCGAAAATTACATTATAGAAATACATGATAGTTACTTACTTTTTTCTCAATTGCCGAGTAAAATAGAAATCTCAGCCTAATAACAGCCATTTATACAAACATAATCGTGTTTGAAATCAAACTCTGTCCGACGGCAAATAATAGAAATTTCTCTATTCTGATCCGACTAACTATCGAATTTTTTAAAGATGATCAGCTGTTTTTATTTTATTTATAATTTTCGTAGCAAAATTATTAAATGTTTTTCTTAAGTCTGAACCTCATCAGGCAATTTCAGTTTGTCGCATTTGTAAACAGTTACTTATTCTTAATGAAATTACAAAAGTTCTGCAAAGCAATTGAGTTATAAAAATAAAATAATATCGTAAAAATATTTATGATATTAAATATCAATGTAAAATTATTTAAATAACAACCTTTTCAAATAATGGTGAAACTAACGAAGTAAATTCATTTAAATTCGCAAGGATTAAATTAATATTTTGTTAAATATTGATTGCTAATTTTTAAAATTCCTACTGCACACCACTTTGGGTTCCTAATAAAACTCTCAAACAAAAACTTTTAATCAAAATAATTTAAAAAAAACTTTAAAAAAGTACCCAAATAAACTTTCTGGGAAATTTTGTAAAATACACAATTTTCATATTAAAAATATTGATTTTTCATTTCATTTATTATAATACCTTGTGTTGGTTTATGTATACATATCACGTATGTATGTTCATTTTAAAGTATTACAATATATATATACTGCAAATATAATGAATTAAATTAGTTTAATCAGTTAAGTAAATTACCATTTATTAAAATGTAAAATACTTCCAATTATCTTCTAAAATACATAAGCTTCCATTTTAATTACATTTTAATGAAAATCGTTTTAAAATAATTATTATTATTATTATTATTATACAGCTTTATTATAGTTCTTCCATGAAATATTTGTTTTTTTATAAAAATATTAGAAAATATCAAACAACATTTAATAAAATATTATTAAATTAATTTTTGTTATTTTACAGATTATAAAAATCATTTTTAATTTTAGGTACTTTAATTATTTTATTTTATTAGTTTTAAGTTATTATAAGAATAAAAACAAAAAAATAAATAATAAAATAATGAAAATGTTAAAACTTTCAGAAAAAATTTAAATTTCTAGTGCTAAAAACTCATCAACTCTAGTCTTCTAATTCCATAATTAAAATATTAAAAACATTAATTAAGAATCAAAATAAAACATGAAAAAAATGAAAAATTTGTTTTTGAAATAAAATTATTTATAAAAATCTGGTGAAGTTAGAAATAATTTCTATTTGGTTTAAAAAAAAATGAAATTTATAAAATTAAAATTATTTAAAATAAAAAACAAAAAAAAATAAATAAAAAAAGTTAGAAATCAAAAATGTTCACATTAAAACACTTTCACTTTTGAGATGAAAAAAAAATGTTTTAAAAATATTCTTAGGAATTAAAATACAAAAAAAAAATGAAATAAAATTTAATGTGTTTTAATTTCTGAATCCGGATTTAAGTTTTCAGCTTTTCCGATACAAAAATTTAGTAAAAACTTACTGATTGCAAACTCGACTCTTAAACCTACTGATAAAATTCTCGTTTTAAACAGTGAAGAAAACAATCAGTGAATTAAGTCTTACATAAGAATTTATCTTAATGGAAATTTCTTCATGCAACTGCAGAACAGATGGATGACGTAATCAAAGGAACGAGTTAAAGGCAGAAAAATTCAATAAAAAAATTTTTCTCCTCGAACTGGACTCGAACCAGTGACCTACGGCTTTCTAGGCGGACGCTCTACCAACTGAGCTACAGTTATTTCTTACATAAGAAATTAAAAAACTTTTTAAAATATTTACGACTCATAGAATCTTAAACCAGATCTTAAAATTAAATTGTTATTAAAGTTCTAATAAAAATAAAACTATAAGTGTACACATTCAGTATCTACGAAAAAACAAAAATTTAACATACGTGAATTGGAAATCGTATATAACAGTATTGAGCTTGAACTTTCTGTATTGAATTTTTCTTTTAATTGAAATGGGTACTAAAAAACAACACTCGCTATTTTCTTTAAAAAAGTCCTATCTTTCAAATCTGCTGACTTAAAAACTCCATAATAATAAAAAATTTTCCTTAATTCCCTTTGAACCGTATTATTTGTGGTCCTCTAAATTCCGAATCCCGAAAATACCAGTGTTTAACAAAACAAACATTACGGAACTCTAGAAATTCTATTATGTGCCGCATCACAATATTCACTACATTTTCATGAAAAGCAGAGTATTTGCTCGTTTCAATTTAATTTCCAAATTCACATCATTTATTTTACTATCTGTTATAATTCAGCATATTACATATACCTTGAATGTAACCTTGAAATTAAACCTATATATTTGATATTACATAACCCATAATAAATGTGTGTATGTTTATATAAACCAATTTCTGACAACTTCAAACAATTCAAATTCAGTTAACAAATAATAAATAAGAAAAAATATTCATAATTCTTATACACGATTATTAATCGTAATGTTTACTTAGAAAACGTGCCGAATTATTAAGGAAATCCTTAAAATAATTTATTTATATACCATATCATACACACACCCACACACATATATATATTTATGGAAATGTATAACATCTGGTAAAAATTAAGGTTATCTGTAGTACATACATAATATTTCTTTATTAAAATAATATAATCTTGTTATACAATCAAATCAAGTCCCAAAAGGAAAATTTATTGAACTAAATTGAGTTCATGGTTTCCAAAACGAACAAAATAAGAACGAAAGAAAAAAACAACAAAAAACGATCATAGCAAATAATCCTTCCAACAAGTTTCATTTAATAAATTTATTTACTGATTTTCTCTGCTATTAATAAAGAAAGTCCTTC